GGCTGCGTGGCGGCAGGGAGGTTTGCTCGCCGGTTTGCACGGGGGCGCTGCAGGGGATGGTTGGGGCGTGCCCGGCGGGACACGAGCGCAGCCTTGCACGCGCAGCTACACGCGAGGCAGCTCCGCTACGGAGGGGTTGCTCGCCCCTTACACGGCGGGTTGCAAGCAGGGTTTTGCATGCCTGGTTGCTCGGAGCGCTGCAGCAGGGGTATTTTGCACGCGTCGTTTTGCATGACCCATTGCTTGCCTGCTTGCCCAGGGGGCTGCAAACGAGGTCTTGCTCGGGGGGGTTGCATGCCCTGTTGCACATGCGGCTGCAGGAGTGGGTTTGCAAGCCTGGCGGCGGCGGGGGGGCGGTTGCACAGGTGGGATTCAMCCCCTGCTTGCAGGGGGTGGCTTCAGGGGGTGTCGCACGAGGAGTCTCTGCCCCACGGGTTGCACAAGGCGTTTGCACCCAGAGCTTTGTCTGCCGTGTTGCATGGACGGTTGATCCTGCTGGAAGCCGCAGGGACCTTTCCAGCACACRCTGGAAGCCGCTGGCATCAGAGCTGCAGCACTTGGCACCTAACTGCCTTCCAGCCAATCCAAATCCCACAAACCTCCACCAAGTACCGAAGTTTTCCCGCGTTCCAATGGTGCCCAGAGAGCTGCGGACCGGGGCTTCTTGGCATCCACTTTTGTGCGATATTTTCCCTAGAGAAGAAGGTGCCACTTGGGTTATTCTCAGATTATTCATTTAATCACCCACATTTCTATAAATTTGGGGTAGTAACAAGGCAAAGGCATCTTAATGGAGTGACCTAGGTAAAAAAGCAAGTTGGGAGATCGGTGTGGGCGCAGGTGACCCTGGCTTTCCGGGTGGCTCCGGTGACCGTGCAGTGACAAGCCCGGAGGTGGCAGCGGCTCTCGCTAGGACCTTGCAGYGCCAACGCCGCCTTGGAGCACGATCCCCGTGCCGGCCAAACCCACGGTGCTGCTGGCCTTTCCCTGCTCGGAAAGGGCAAAGCCGCTGGGAATTGCATAGGGAAAGCGGGATTAACCCGCTCTGCGCGGGCTGCTCCAGGCTTGGGGCTGCATCCCGCAGCCCTGAGACGTGGAGTCGGCTGTTAGTGATTTTATTGGCAGGSGTTCCTATTTACAGCAGAATTAGAGGAAATGGGGAGGGAGCGGAGCCCGGCGAAGCTCTTTGGCGCCCGTGCAAGGCCCCGGGCAGTGCCGTCCGTGTCCCCAAATTCCGTGTGTAAAGTCACAGTGGTGCCAAATCCGGAGGGGACGGCTCCGTCCGGACCCCACGGGGAGGGGGTGGCTCTTTCGTATCCGATGTCGCCGGCTCTGCAAGGAGAGGAAAAGGCTGGGAAGCGGCCGGGCTGTTCCTGCTATTGTGTGCGCACCTGCGCTGCCCACACGCTCCGATCGGAGCGGCCGCTGTCGGGAACAGCCGCCGCTGTCCTCACCACGGGGACAGGCTGGGACTGAAGGTTTATCTTGGTCCAAGCCACTTCTGGGAAAAAAACGCAACCRAAAATCTGCCTTTCCCACCACTAGCTAGCAGTGTTCGACTCGTGTGGATGCCCCAAATCTTGTTTTGTTTGGAAAAAAAAAAAGCGCTGCAAGGTGCCACTGTGGGCGCCCCTGGGGCTGAAAAACACTTGGAATCAAAGTGTCCCCAATACCTTCTAAGGGGGGAGACCGGGAGTCATAACATGGAGGCCAGGAGGCTGAAGAGGATGATGAGAGGCAGGTGACATCGCAGGGCTGATCCCGCGCCCCCGGGCTCCGGGTATTCCTGGGGAGGCAACGAAAGGGCTCGTTAATCGTTGGCTTTAATAAGGGGGACACGGAGTGCTGAAGCTGTTCCAAAATCGGCTCTTTCCACCAATTATTACTCATTTTCCCGCAACTTCCTGCAAGGATGGATGCTTCGTTTTGGGGCAGAATTGGCGGCTCCGGCTTACCTCCTCGTAGGGGTATATTGTGGGTATCAATGTGATGTTCTCGGTGTAATATTCCCCGGTGGCGTACAGGTAATCGCCTGCAACGACAGCGCAGCGCCCGGCATTACCCCCGGCCATCCCGCGGGAATCCCAAAGCTGGATATTTGCGGTGCCGGAAGCATTTTGGCCCCAGGGATTTTGGAGCCACATGTGCAGAGGAAGGAAACAGAGTGAGGAGGAGGATGAAGTCATGGGAGGAAGCGCTGGAGCGGGCGCTGCGCAGGGTCTCCCATCTCTCTTATTCAATATACAGTCTGGCAAATGGCATTTCCGATGCTAACGAGAACCACTGGGGGCAGAGCAGCTCCAGAAAAGTTGGAAATCTGTTTTTAATCCTGTTTTCTGCTGCCCTCGCATCTCTCATTCCCGCGGTTTCCGCACRGGTAGGAGCCACCAGGGCCCCACTCGCCCTTGCAGCCCTTTCCAACCCAGCATATTCTCTGCTTAACCCCAGCCCTAGACTGGGAGGCCCAAAAAGCCGTGTTTTCTCACCATAATAGGCCGCATAGTTGTAGAGTAGCTCTGATATCCCGTCATCTGCCTCTGCAGTTCCTTTAAAAAAAGAAGAAAAGGAAAAAAATATATARTTTGTCAGCCAAACCCGTTCGCAGAGATGCTCACGCTTCCCCAGAGCTCCGTTGCTGTGAACAGGGTTACGCAGAGCGCATGGGGTGCACGGAGCTCTGCTCGCTTCCCTTTTCCAATGTAAGGTTAACCGCGTTTTCTCTTTCCCCAGTGCTGGCTCCTAAGGCCGTTTTTCTTGCGAGCTGCTTGGGGAAAATCCGTGGGAAATGAGCTCAGGTTTTGCTGTGGTGGAGCGAGCCCCTGGCCCCGGTGGTCAGCACGCTTGGGGAGCGGCGCTTGCCGTGAGGATGTAGCGTGGGATCCTTGGGGCAGCGCGCGGGGATGTCCTGGCCCCTCCGATGGCGCAGCGTGCTTTCCCGCGCGCTTTCCAATGCACCGCATGCTCCCGCGCTGTCCCATGCACATTCCAATGCACCGCGAGCTCCGGCGCTCTTCCACGCCCTCCCACTCTCTTTCCAATGCACCGCGCTCCTCCACGCTCTCCTGCACGCTTTCCAATGCACCGTGTGCTCCCACGCTCTTCCACACTTTCCCGCACGCTTTCCAGTGTGCCACATGCTCCCGCGCTGTCCCAAACACATTCCAATGCACCGCGAGCTCCGGCGCTCTTCCACGCTATTTCCAATGCACCGCCTGATCCCACATTCTCCCACTCTCTCCCGCGTGCTTTCCAATGCACTGCATGCTCCTGCACTATCCCACGCATATTGCAGTGCGCTATGCGCTCCCACGCTCTCCGCACTCTCCCACATATTTTCCAATGCACCGCGCTCTCCCACGCTCTTCCGTACTCTCCAAGGCTGCTGTTTGGAGCCGGCCGTTGCATCCAGGCTGGAAGGACGCTAAGAACATGCAATCTGTGCTGGGTGGTTAGCGACCTGAAGCACTTCCAGCTGGAAATCCCCGCTCTGACAGCGCCGCGGCTTAACCCCTCGCGGGCCGTTTTGTGCCCCGGGCTCCTGCCGTTAGGGTGGTGGTGACGGGAACACCCCGATAACCACTTGCTGCCGGTGCCTCTTCTCGCTGAGGGCTCTTTGCCTTGTGCCGCGGGAAAGCCCTGTCTTCCCTGCATCTCCCCTGGCTCTATTGCAAATGCAAATAGATATATTGCAAAAGCAGCAAAATAGGTATTGCGCATAGAAGTAGAGGTTGCAAATGCGGCAAAATAGATATTGCAAATTATTTTGCAAGCTGGGAATTGCCGAGCTCTCTTCCGCGCGCAGGCACTTTCTCGCGGCGTTCGTGCCCTTCCATCCTTCCTCTTTGCCCTGYGCCCCAGCCCGAGCACCGCGCAGGCTCTCCCTGCGGCGCCAAGCGCTCCAGATTTACCCAGGCCGACGTGAAGAGCCAGGACGGCGGCGAGGAAGAAGCTCGTCATCCTCGGCCCGGCGCGCTGGGATCGCCGCCGCTCCTTGGGATCGTCTCCGGCCGCGCTGGGAACAGGAAATGACACTCGGCGAGGGCTGCACCCGGCTCCGCGGAGAGCCCAGCACGGGCTTTTTTTCCCCAAAACGCCTTGGCCGCCGTGCTCGCTCGTCCRCGAGCTCGCGGGGAAGCTGCTGTGGCGCCAAGGCTGCAGCCCAGCCGGCCTCAACTCCGGGAACTTTCCCGCTCCGGCCGCTGCCCGAGCGTGGGCACAGCCTGGAATCAGGAGAGGAGATGGTTTTAATTAAGCCCCTGCTTCAGAAGACCTGAGCTATTAATAGCAATGTTATTCGGAGCCCAAAGCGGCTCCAGTTTCCTCATTTTTTTGGGAGTGTTTCCATCCTCACCGCCTCAATTGCCCTGCACCCAGGACAGATGTGGAGGCTTGAGGGCTCCTTTGGATCTCCAGAATGTGGGAATGTGCTGGTTGGAGGTGCTTTAGGAGCCAGATTCTGCTTATTGAGTTAGATTCTTAAAATCCTGCCCGTGTGCTCTTTCCGCATCCGGGGGATGCGGTGCTTTGGTATCAGCATCTTTTTTTTCTCCATCGCTTTAAAAACAGAAGCAAAAGAAGCAAAATAATGATAATAATAATAACGTGGTTAGGATGGGGCTGGGAGAAGGTGGAAAGTGGAGATGGAAGCCAGAAAAAGTGACGTGTTCCCATGGGAGCGGTGACCCGAGGCAGCACTGGCCAATGCAAAACTCAGGGGATTTAATGAAAAATGTGTTGATCCAATGCGATACTGTATTTGGGGGGCATTTAGGGGCCCAATTGCCCAAGAGGTGGGAAGAAATCCTCCTTATGGAGCTTTCCCGAGGATGAACTGCGTGGGAAGGGGGATCRGCCGGCAAAGGGGCCCTTGGGAAAGAGCGGAGGCAGTTTAGGAAATAAGAGTGGGGAAAAGGGGGCTTTGCTGCTTCCTTCTCCATCCTCTCCCCCACACAGGGGAGGGAAGAGGCGGCGTCCGGCCGCTTCCCACGACCCTGGGCCCCGCTGCGGAGCGCTGGGTGAAACGGGCAGGAAAGTGGGCGGAAGCGCGGAAATCACCCCAAAACACCGTCCCCGGTGGGGCTGCGGCGGAGCCAGTGCGAGGGCGGCCGTGAGCTTGAGCGCTCGCAAAATCCATGCTGAATCCAGCTTTTTCCCGCTCCCCCAGTGTTTCTCCCCCGTTTTGCGGCTGGTTTTCGGGGCCAGGGCTGGGTGCAGGTTTGGGGATGCGATTCTGCCTGCAGAAACTGCTGTTTATGGAGCAGTTCCYTCTGGGAACTGGGTCACTGGGAGCATCCCAGTTGGCTAAACTGGCAGCTTTCTTGGGGAGAAATGGGGCAAAACCGCAGATGCATCCTGTCGTTTCCCAGTTTTAATAGGAGGAAACCTTCAGAAGGGGAAAAAAATAAAATAAAAAAAAAAAACAACAAATTGGGGCTGAGAACAGAGCTGGTGGAGGACACAGACAGAGAAATCACACCCTGGGTGCGGGAAGGAAGCAGAGAAATCCCTGCCTCAGGACTGCCCCTAATTTGGGGGGAAATCAGATTTACAAAGTATATTTATATGTATTTTAGCGGCGTCCCCGGGGATGCGGCGGAGGACGTGGTTTGCAGCACAGCGTGGCTGCCCTGCTCTAAATAAAGCTTTTTCCTGCCCGGCCCTGCCGCCTCAGGGGGGGCTGCATGCCTAGGAAGTGAAGAAGCGGTGCACTTTTAAACATAGTGTTCTAAAAAATAGGGGAACACATGCCCATTTAAACAGTAATTCTAAAATTTGTATGTATTTGTATGTATCTATGTGTCTTTTAAATGAGCCTCAGGAACACAGAGAAAGGTCCAGCTGTTTGTGGCGGCAGTTGTCCTTTGCCTTAAAGGCAGTTTTAGCTCCTCAGGCCCCCTAATACCAGCCCAGTTCCCCCCAGTGCCCTCAGCCCACCCCGTGCCTCCCAGTGCCCTGATCCCCCCAACATGCCCCAGTGCTCCCCATTCTCCTCAATGCTCCCAGTGCCTCCAGTGACCCCAGTGTCCCAGTCCCCCCAATATCCCCCAGTGCCCCCCAATCCACCTAATGCCACCATATCTCCAATGCTCTCAGTGCCTCCAGAATCCCCTAGTCCCCCCAGTACCCCTAGTGACCCCACTGTCCCAGTCTGTCCTCTAGTGCCCCCAGTCCCTCCAGTGCCCTGGTCCCCCCACTATGCCCCAGTGCTTCCCAT